GTTGCGTCTGAAGGAAGGACAGCACGGCTGGGCAGTGTGTGCGTGTGTCTCTGGACAGGAGGCACCTCCTCTCCTTCCTCAGCGATGGCAATCACACGGGGCGCCCCGGGAGTGCCAGCGGCGTGTGCTTGTCTGTTCCGCACCCCTGGCGAGTCTCCATCTGCCTGGACTAACGTGGCCTCAGAACGGCTTCTCTCCCGAAGGGAGCTCGCTTCCCTGTGAGAACGGGTGAAGGACCAGGGTGTTCTGGAAGTACCTCAGGTTGTTAACTCTAGACCAGAACCGAAACCTGTCCCTTACACAGCCAGTGACGGAAAAGCCTGTGCTCCCAGGGTGGATTCCTGGCACCTCTAGTGGCCTCTGAAAGTCTTTTGTTGTTTTTTTTTTTTTAATTATTTTTATTTCAAAACTGTTCACAAATAGGAGAAACAAAGCAAAGAAAAACAAACGGTCATCCCCTGGTACGTATGTTTAAAGTGAGAGATGGAAGGAGATGGCGGGAAGAGGGTGCATCTCCTCTGAGTCTCTTGCTTAAGAAATGAGCACAATTAAGGTGGTGCTTTTCCGGAAAAGTTGTAATGAGCTGATTCAACCAGCTTGTACATCATGAGTTAGCTTTATGCCCAAATATGGAAATATTCCTGAAATCTAAAATTTAAAAATGCGGGGATGATCTGGGTAAACACTTAGCCTCCAATAAAAATGTGTTTTTCTTTCCCGTCATTTTCTCATCCTTTGTCATCTCAATGCAAGAAGCCTGGCGGGGGGACTGAACCCGGGCCACGCTGGTCAGCTGAGGGGTCACCTAGGGGCTGCTCCCGCAACAGAGGGTGAGGCGTCTTTTTCTCACTGGCACAAAGGTGCTGCCCTTAGCAGCCCAGTGACCCAGCAGGTGGTGGTTTTAAAGAATGAATGACTTAGGAGGTGAAAGCAGAGCCCGGGTACTCGGTAGGCCTCTCTGGTATGTTTAGTCAATCTTGTCGTTGTCCCCTGCCCCCCCCAACAGTATTCCTGCCGGCCTTACAGCCCCCCGCCACCAACCTCTGTTCCTGTAGCTGCCAGAATGCTCTATTAAAAGGTGAATCAGGTCATCTCCCTCCTCCATAACACCTCTCCTGGCTTCCTTCTTCATGGCAGCAGAGAGATGGCTCCTAGGGCCTTAAAAAAAACATCCTTGGTGGGGGCCTGGGGAGATGAGCTGGCTAAACGGTTAAGCATCTGACTTGATCTCAGCCTAGGTCTGGACATCGGGCTCCACGCTGGCCAGAGCCTACTTAACAAACAAAAACATCCTTGGGGAACACTGCATCAAAAACTAATGATGTAATGTATGGTGGTTAACATAACAATAAAAAAATTATTAAAAAAAAAAGAAAAAAACAAATGAGGAAAGGGAAAAAAAGAAGAGAGAGAGGCAAACCAAGAACCAGACTCTTAATTATAGAGAACAAACTGCTGGTGACCAGAATGGAGGTGGGTGGGGGGATGGGTGAAATATGGGATGGGGTCGAAGGAGGGCACTTGTCATGATGAGCACTGGGTGTAGTACGGAAGTGTTGAATCACTATATTATATACCTGAAACTGATATCACACTGTATGTTAACTAACAAGAATTTAAACAAAAAACTTAAATATAAAAAAAAAAAAACATCCTTGGGTTATAATGTTCACAGAGGCTTTACAAGGTTTATATACCTTTCAGATCAAAAGCATAGAGGAAGGATTTACACATACAAATTTTCTCAAAGAAATGCTTTGAGAAAAAGGTACAGAGCCCTCTTTCCCTTTTGAGGTCCCGCCGCACTATTTTCCAGAACAGCTGCACTTGTCCCTTCCCACCAGCTAAGTATGTATGGAGGTTCCAATTTATCCACAGCATTGACAAAACTTTTTATTGTCCTCTAATCATTTTTTATTATGGTAAAATACAAGTCATGTAAAGTTTAACCATTTTGACTGTTTTTAAGTGTACAGTTTGGTGGCGTTAAGTTCATTCCTAGTGTTGTGCAACCGTCCCCGCCATCTGGGTGCAGAAGTTCTTCATAATCCCTTCCTGAAACTGTCCCCACGAAACACCCAATTCCGCATCCACCTCTCCCCCAGGCCCCTGGTAATCACTATTCTCTTCTCTGTCTCGATGTGTTTGACTCTTCTAGGAACCTCACAGAATCAGTATAACACTTGTCATTTTGGGTCTGGCTTATTTCACTCCGCATAATATCTTCAAGGTTCATCCATGTTGTAGATCTGTCAGAATTCCACTGTTTTCAGGTTGAATAATATTCCATTATTCCATTATATGTTGCACCACATTCTGTTTATCCATCCGTCCCTGGAAATTTGGATGATTTTCTACCTTTTGGCCCTTGTGAAAAATGCTACTCTGAACATGGGTATACAAATATCTCTGAGTCCTTGTTTTCAGTTCTTTTGGGTGCATCAGAGTGGAATTGCTGGATCGCTTGGTAATTCTCTACTTAACTTTTTGAGGAACTGCTATATTATTTTCCATTGTGGCCACATGTAAGCAATAAGTTTACATTCCCACCAGCAGTGGATAA